GATATTAACTTTCATCATGCCCCAAAAAACATTTGTGTCAGAGAGCAGAAAAGTCCTTGAAAATGACACAGGTAACATGATTTTGGCTAGAAACTTCATAACCACATTTTTAAAGACAACTGAGATCACAAAAAACGATCAGAGTGAGACTAACGCCTGGTTCACACAGGAAGCGCCGCGCGCGGAACGGAAGCGCCGCGCGCGTGCGCAGCGCCGGCTCGCGCTTGGCTGTTCACACAGAAAGCGCTTTCTGCTGCGCTCTGACACGCTGGTCAGACATCGACTGAGCCCGGCAGTGCTCGGCCGTTTCCGTCTGCCCTCAGTTTTCCACACTTACGAGCGCTTTAAAAATGGGTAAATCAATATTTATTTACGTTTTTATTTCGTCATACATAAATAAAATATTTGCAGCATCTTCAAGTATTGTTTTAAAATATTATATAGGGGTAAACAACGAATGAATTGGGGAGTTTGTTGACTCCGTTGTATGTATAGCCTTGTTAGCTCGAGGCTATTGACTGTATTGTAATAAAGCCCCCCTCCTTTGTCTCAATAACGTCTCTGAATCTCTGCAGCTCTCCCTCCGTGTGTGTGTGTGTGTGTGTGTGTGTGTGTGTGTGTGTGTGTGTGTGTGTTCATCGGTAAAAAAATAGACCGACAAGCAACACCGTCAATCCTTTTCTAATTTATTGAAATTTACCGGATTCTCTCGCATCTCCTTCCTGACTTCCTGTCTGGTCCGATCTGCTCTGCTGAGCTTTACAATCGGCGCTCGCGGCTCGCGCCGAAAATAGAGAGAAGCGGAGCAGCCGCGCTCCAGAGCGCGTGCTGTGTGAACAGTCTCATAGGTTAACATGGGCGCCGATCTGAAACTCTGTGCGCGGCGCTTCCGTTCCGCGCGCGGCGCTTCCAGTGTGAACCAGGCGTTAAAGAACAGCCGTAGTTTGCGCTTTTTAGGCGAGCAGCCCTTTAAAGTTAGTAAGCCTCCTTTAAAAGTGATATTCAAAGATTGAAATTCAATGATGAAACCAAAAAACCTTAAGCAAGCAGAACAGGCATACACTTCGCTTCAAAATAAAAGCATGTATTAAAATATAAAAAATAAAGCAGTCTAAACAAATGGCACTTAAAATGTCAAAATAAAAGCATCAAAAACAATTGTTGCTTGAGGGAAATTAAGGTCTAGAGGAGTTTCTATTTCAGTATCAGTAACAAGGATGCCATTTGATGCTTATTTGTTGCTAATTCAGCTGATCATGTGGCTGTTTTCTCCAGGTTTCCTCAAAACTGCAAATACTGTAATGGTGAATTTCTTCTGGCCACACGAATTATGATATTAAATGGCATGATAGGGGTGAGGAAATGTTAGTTATTTAAAGTGGCACACTTATGAAATCAATTGCGTTAAATGATCTTTAATTTCAAATTTAAAATCTCTAAAATTTGATAACTATCACTGATGTTCAAACCAACAATTTTTGGCTCAGTGCACTTAAGTCTTCAGTCTTTTCTGAGGAAAGGAGGTTTTTAGTAAAAGGCAGTCATCATTTCTGAAAAAGTCACAAAGACAGAAAGGTTTTATTTTATTTCATTATTGCCGACTCTTCCAACAGATGTTTCATTTACTGTGCTGACTCATTTGCTGCCTTTGCTCACAGAGACACAGAGACACTCCAACTGAACATGTTTTTTTTTCCTGTATTTCTTTTTTTTTTCTTTTACCTGTAAGTGCATTCCCTCCATATGCGCATCGTTTAAGTCCGTGAATACATACAGGGTGAACACAACATAATGCCACTACTACTCTTAAGTATATACTTACAGATTATATAGACTAAAAGCACCGGGTAAAGCTGCTGCAGCTGCTCAACCAAGGGACCAACATTATAAAAGGCACATTTAAACCCTGCCAAGGTGCATTAAGGATGGAGAGGCATTTCCATCGACAGACTAGAGGTCAATAAGGGGACATGGAGTGGATCCAGTGCACCTCCCACTCTTTCGCTTTGGCGCTCACAGACAAAGACAAACTGCGGTGCCAGCTATCAGCGCACACCCACCAGCGATCAGTTGCTAAAGATCAATGTGAACTACTCCTACTCGCCGCATGAAAAGTCCATAAAGGTGACAGTCTGCCGGTGGTGGGTGCCAAGTCTTCGGGAATCAAAGGATAAAATTAATCAAAAAGAGAAAGTCCAGGAAATTGCAGCTGGGCTGACATTATGTTTTTTGTTGTTGTTGTTGTTGTTGTTGTGTTAGCACGTTCTCAACCCAATCCAAAAGTTGTAAGGTGCAGCTTTGCAAACAGATAACTTCTGACTCGGAGAGGAAGTTACGTTCAGTCTGTGGACCGACGGCTCTGAAAAAGAAGCAGCTCAGAGTTTTAAGTGGGAAAAGCACACTGTGATCCACAACTGCGAACAAATAAGAATCAAGGCGGATTGAGTGAAGAAAGACACCGAAAGAGGAAAAGGTGTCAGTCCTGCTTTTGTTTACAGCGTCCATCAGACACCTGCAGAGCTCAGGTGAGTGGAGTGACCATATTCTGAATCCCCAAAAAGAGGACACCACTACGCGGGGGCAGATTCACGGAGTCACACTAAGTTAATTTTAAGAGTTTTTCAGGTCTGATCAAGTGTTTTTTGCGTGCTTCTAACTCATTAAGTCCACATGACACAAACTTGAAACTTTCATACAAAACACCGGACATTGGAAGGATTTTATAAACTTCCCCAGACAAAGCCGGACAAGCCCCAAGAAAAGAGAACATGTCTGGGTAAAAGACGACGTATGGTCACCCTACAGGTGAGGGTGTTACACCCTGTGGACAGAGAAGGCTTTACTTATCCTGTCTGCTTTATGTTTGAGCTTTGATTGATGACGACAAATCTCATCCTGCTCATGTTTGACGATAAAATGTGAATATTTTTTGGTGAAATTGTAAAACTAGGGCGGCTGCAGCGCTTGGATCCACCCTCTTGTGTTGGATTCAGACATTAAAAATAAGGGTTTTAAGTAGGGCTGGGCGATATGGCCTCAAATCAATATCACGATATATTGATCAGTTCACCTCGATAACTATAAATTGACGATAACTATTCTACAAGCCGATCACCCCCTTCCACATTAACTTCATCTACTTCGCCCTCCATCTCCTCTCCTGTCTTTCCCTCTTTGTTACAGACTGGATGGGGTGGAGTCATGCCTTTGACGTAGGACAGCGTCTTAAAGGGACATGAGACCATAGCCTACCTACACACATCCAAAACCAACTTTTATTTATTTAGTTTATTTGACACTAAATATACCGATATGGGCAAAATGATGTCGGTTATTGTCGTAAATTTTATCGCCCAGCCCTAGGTGAGAGTATTACACCCTACGGACAGAGCAGGCTTTACTTACTTATTACTGTCTGCTATATGTTTCAGCTTTGGTTTATGACGACAAATCTCATCCTGCTCATGTTTGACAGTCAAATGTGAATATTTTAGGGGAAAATTGTGAAACTGGAGCGGCTGCAGGGCTTGGATCTACCCTCTCACGTGGGTTTCAGATGATAAAAATAAGGATTTTAAGATACTTCGTCATCATGAGGAATTCTTGTCAATTTTGTTAACATAAAAAACTCCCTATAGGAGCTTTAACTACGACGTCTGTTCCACATAACTTTATTTTTTCTACTGCTCCTGTTCACACACAAGCCTAAAACTCAGTAAATCCATCCAGCAGCTGTCTAAGAAATTGACACGCGGGCCTCAAAAGTGTTTTTCTGACATTTTCAAGAAAAAAAATCCTGTCCTGAAATATTTGACACTTGGGCCGAGCGGGTCAGAGTCCCTGCCGAACATCAAAATAAAACTATGAGTCCTTAGCTGTCACTCAAACTCTCAACTCCCCAGTGGCAGGCGACTATTCCCCTGTGAATTAGCCTCCTCCTGCTGCATGATGGGAAGAAAACACAAAGAAAGGGGAAAAAGACCTGGTGGATTTCCACAGTAGGAGAATCCTCTGCCAAGTCTCAGCTACAGAGGGCTCCCAGCCAGCCGACCATTACATTTATCTGCATCACCGATGTTCCCTTTGAGTGAAAAATAGAACAGACAGAGTGTGAGCGAGATAAAGGAAGCGATGGAGATGGATGGCGAGAGTGGGAGGACTGGAACGGAAGATGAAGGGGGGAGACAGGTGAGCTGGAGAGGGTGAAGAATGGGAGAGGAGGAGGGCTAAAGAGGAAAGAGAGGTAGAGAGATGGAGACGGATGTCGGAGAAGAGGGAAACAAGAGGCAGCAGCTGCACAGGCAGGACTTGGATGGAGCTCCAGCCAAGAGATTGTCTATTGTTGGGCGTGAAAAACTAAATTGGCAATTTTCAATCAGAAAGAGTTTTTAGATTCCCACTTTTAATTTCCTGTAAACAAAGCACATCCCTTCACTGGTTCTTTCTCATCTACTGGTGCTGGAAGAGAAGGAAAATGAACTCTATAGAAGAATCCATAAACACTCCTATAATTACTTTGTGTAATGAGCCTATTTGTATAATTGCTCTTGAGACATCATCTCATTCCTCCGTGTTCATGTCTATTGATTTTATTTCCAATGTTAAGCTTATGGTAAAGTCTGTATGAGCGCTATAAACTTAATCAGTGATAATGTTCCTGTTTGTTCGCTGATGACTGAGATATCAATGCTGTTTACGTGTGGGATGATTTAACGGCGCTGTAGGAGACGACACAAATGGTTATGGCTGTTTACAGGTGCTATAAACAGCACCGGGCGATTTGTTAGCTAGGTTGTTGGCGGAGGATGTCACAGGAGGGGGGGACCTGTATTCTTCTTCTGCTATCCTTTTTAATGACATGTTTAAGGGCCACTGAAGAAGAAAAACACATTGGTTAGTGGACAGGTTGTTACGGTGCGACTACATCCATCCCTCTGTGAAATAATGGGAGTGAAATGGGCTTTGTGCGGTGTTAGACGACAGGGGCGATAAAGACAACCCCTGCGTCGATTTATAAGACCAGGTTCAAAAGACTAGAGCGTAGCAGGGAGGCTGTGCGGACGGAGGGAACAAAAACGGCGTGGTGATGTGATGTTTGTTTGATAAGTGAGTCTGGGAAGCTTCAGTGAGAATCAGATATACAGTATTGAAGTTTAAAAGTTTATTTACAGATGACATTTTTTCATATACTGGGTTTTCTGGACTATAAATTGCACGCCGAGTAAAGGTCCTTACACACTAGGAACGACGCAAATATACGATGCAAAGTTGCGAAATATTCAGAGGCGAATTTTGACGCGCCTGACTATACATATCAAGCGTGATGCGATTTTGCGACGATTTTGGCTAGAAAAGCTGGAAACGTCATCACACGCTCAAGCCAAACGGTCAGCACTTATAGCCAATCAGAGGTGAAGGAGGGCAGGACCTTCCCTTAACAACCTACAGCATCGGCTGGAAGCGAGAGGACAAATATGGAGTCTACTTCATCTTCACGTGATGGCGAATTGGTACTCCTTTTGCTTTCTCAAAAGAAAAAGAAATGTAGCACATGGGGGGATCAAATATTACAAAAAAGAAGAGAACTTGGTGAGTTTCACTGCTTATTTTCGGATGGCTGTTGGATGATTTGAAATTCTGCTGAAACAATTCGCTCCAAGTTTGAAGAGGCAGAGGACTAGACACTAGTGTTGAGATGGCTGTCTGTCATGATAGCATGTACTGAGTCTGGGCCAGTACCAGATAAGCACATTAAACTAGGTTAACAACCGTTAGCTTACGTTAGCACAGATGAAAGTTAAATGAAAGTAATTTGATAACTGATTTGAGCCAAATTTAATGGAATTGGGAATACCGGTACAGAGTAGAAAATTTTAATAAAACGTTAAAAGTAAAACAAATCATGGCTTCATATGTAGCATTGATGGATTGAAACATTGAATAGAAAGCCCCTATTGTCTTGAACCATGTACAAGGAAACTGGAAAATAAGTAAGAGCTAAAGTCGTATCTAAATAATCTAATAGAATCTAAAATAATCTAATCTAGGGACATCCATGCATTTACGGTTACACATTAAATAATTACTAAAGGGAAAAATGTGTATTTCTTAATAAAAAATCTAATGCAGAGAATGTTCTGTGGACTCTATGGCTGTGATTGCACTCTGCATGGTAGATAATGTATATTTTCACTAAGTGCAGTAAATAGTTGGGTATATTATGGACATTTCACATGAAAACTTTTAAAGTGGATTGAGAGGAAATGTATCCTGCACAGTGATTACAGAAAAATGACAGTCTGCTCCGCATAAACTAAGAGGAGGTGAAAGTCGAGGTTAATGTAAATTTGATTTCTACTTCGTGTTAACGACTTATTCAGGGAGTCAAACTCGCACCCTGTCAGTAGAACTGTCACAGAGTCTATATTAGGTACGTTACATGATAATTTACATGTATAAGATGTCCTATTATGAATTCAAACATGTAAAAACAATTTGCCGACAGGTTCAAGCAAACTAAAAGAGAAAGAGCTACAATTGTCGATGCTTTCTCTCACACTTCCAATAAAGAGCTTTTTACTTTGCTGTCCTCTCCGGCAGTCCCGCTGCATACATGCCTCTTCAGCCAGAGTGACTTAAGTGTTTCAAAGTACCTGATGCAAGAACAGCAGGTAGCCTTGGGCTGAACGTAAACCCACGCTTTCAATTGTGTTGATGCATCTGTTTATGTTTTTCCATTGATTTCCACGGAGCTCGCAGAGGCTCTGAACTGAGGGGTTCGCAGCGGAGACGAGAGCGCTGCTGCATTCAGAGCAGAGAGAGTGTGATTTCTAGACACACACGCGAGGAAAAAGTGATGTTTTGATCTTATAGAGAACAATATTTCTAAATGGTGTTTCGTAAAAAGTTATTAATCAGCTTAACCTTGACTCTTGAATGGTATGAGAAGCAGTAAAGCTCTTTAAGTACGCAGAAAAACATGTTAGTTTATAGTGATTTATCCCCAGACCCAAATTTTTCGGCCTCACTTTGTAAGCTGGATGTACGGTCCATCTATTTCTAAAGTCAGAAGTTCATTCAGGTATCTACCCACAGAAACACAGACACCCTCGTATTGTACACATACACGTTAACGCTCCCCAGCTCATTAATCACTGCCAGGAGGGGGTCTGACAGAGTCTCACCTCTTCTTCCTCCAGAATAAAACACTCCCCCGCTCTCTCCCCCAGAGCCGATGAACCCCCAAACCTCACTCCGGTTTTTGACGCTTTATCTCAGATTTCACCGCCTTCGCCCAGTTTTCCATGTGTCGCGGTCTGCACAGCAGTGTGTGGTTTGACGTCGATCCAATTATCATACTCAGGCTGTTATTATGCGGTGAACAGATGAAGCAGAGAATGGGCTCTTCAGAATTAAAGACGAGGGTTTTTGTTTTCTGAAAATCAGGCCCTTCTTTCCCCCGCTAAGAGATTTTCAATCATAGAAAATGTCGTGTACTGTTTCTGGGGACTGACATTTGCTGAGTTTCTTTTTTTATGTTCTCTGCACATTACTTTTTCTGAGACATCGTCTGCATCTTTTCCAGATTTTTGACATTTTGCTTTACTTGTTTCTGCAGGGACAAACAACCTGAAGACACAGGAGTATCTCAGGCCTCCTTTGAAATCTGACTGGCCACCCAAGAGGCTTCTCTAAAATGCATTTCTTCCTTTTCTTTTTAAAGAATGAATAATTAAAGGGATATTTCACTGTTTTTGAAGCAGAGTTTTACAGTATAAGTGTCCTGTCAGCTCAGCCAATTCAGATTAAAAATGAGAAACCGCACGACTGCATGCATGTCTACATCACATCCATTAAAAGTGCAAAACAAGATAATTTTTGTGGTGGTTAGATTAAGGCTGGGACCTAAAATTTACCGATGCCGAAATTTACGACGATAACCGACATCTTTTTTCCCATATCAATATTTTTGGTGTCAAATAAATAAATAAATAATGAGCTCCTATAAGGAGTTTTTTTATGTTTATGAAATTGACGAGAATTCCTCATGATGACAGAGAATCTTGAAACCCTTATTTTTATCGTCTGAAACCCACGTGAGAGGGTAGATCCAAGCCCTGCAGCCGCCCTAGTTTTACAGTTTTCACCAAAATATTCGCATTTGACCGTCAAACATGAGCAGGATGAGATTTTTCGTCATAAATCAAAGCTCAGACTTATAGCATACAGTAATAAGTAAAGTGTGCTCCGTCCATTGCGTATAATACCCTCAACTAGGGCTGGGCGATAAACCAAAAATTTACCGTTACCAAAATTTATGACAAAAACCAACATCATTTTGCCCATATCAGTATTTTTCGGTGTCAAAAAAATGAATAAATAAATAAAAGTTGGTTTTGTATGTGTGTATGTAGGCTATGGTCTCATGTCCCTTTAAGACGCTGTCCTACGTCAGAGATGTGACTCCACCCCATCCAGTCTGTAACAAAGAGGGAAAGACAGGAGAGGAGATGGAGGACGGTTCAAAAGTTTTAGGCTGAAGTAGACGAAGTTAATGTGGGAGGGGGTGAGCAGCTTGTGGAGTAGTTATCGTCTATTTATTGTTATCGAAGTGAACTGCTCAATATATCGTGATGTTGATTTGAGGCCATATCACCCAGCCCTAGGTAAAATGCTGAAAATGGTCTCTCTTGATGAGTGTTTGGGTCAGAATCTCTCAAAATTAGTGAAAATGTACCATCTACACGGCCCAGTCTGAAAGCTGTAGCCTAGTTAGCCTAGCCAAGTTGGATTTTGTTTGTTTGTTTATTCAAACTTGAACACTAATCGAAAACTAACATGTCAGTAACATATAAAAGGGTCTCCAGCCCCTTTTTCTTATATTTTTCAGTCTACTTTATTTGATGGAAATTATAATAACCATGTAACATGAAAATTGAATATATTCTATTTTAAAAGACGGACATACACAAGGGTTGGCATAGCAACAAAATACCAATTTCCTCACTTAATTGGAAACACGGCAATAGTTTCAGCTTTCACATACATGATCATTGCCTGTGCAGCACCTTTCCTGTCATGCATATTATGTTGTTGAGTAAGCCTAATAAATACATGCTCATTCACCTACTTTACCAATTATATGAGGGTGAAATTTCAGCTGAAAAACAAATGATATAAAATCACCCCGGGCTGTGTAATTGCACATATTTTCATCTGAACGTGTATTTCGTGAAATAACATTTCAAACGATTTCAGTTACGCTCAACTTCACCAGACATCTTCAATCCATCACAGATTGCCTGGTTAGATTGTAACAGGATTACAGAGGAAAAATGGGAGACAGCGTGGACGTGGTAATGTAAGGTTGGATAAAAAAAGATGAAAATGAGGGATGTACAGCGTGGAAGGGATGAATAATATCCCACTGCCCTATTTTCTCCTCTCTTTTCGCCCTCTGGCTCGTCTCAGCTTTGTTTTTATCGCTTTTTTGCATAAGTGCAACAAAATGCTTTCATTAATGATGCATCACACATAATGATCCTCTTCATTTCCATTTCTCGCCCCTCTGTGAAGACAAGAATCACAGTGGGTTGTCTTTCAGTGGGCCTATATCATTAATTAGACAGCCTCCAAGCAGGGTGTCGCTTACTGTATACACTCATGTCTGTGGTGCAACATGACTCCATCCTTAGTGTAAATGAAGTGTCATATTTCCATGCAAATTGCAGAGATAAGCTAAAAAAAAAAAAAAAAAAACACTAAACACACAAACAAAGGCTTGGGAAACAGTTCGTAAAGCAAACAAACACGGTTATACTCAGCGCCGTATCGTCTGCATAGAGCAGAAATGATTTTAAAGCCACACAACCGCAAGAGTCAAATCAAGTTCACTGAGGAATAAAGAGAGAAAATAAGACCATGACAGGATCATACTGAACTTTAGGTAGGAAAGATTGGAAGCAACTATTACGCCTTGGGCAGGAAGTGTAACTAGTTTTTAGACTGAAAAATTAAAAGTAATAACACAGCACACATTTGGAGGGACCGAAAAATTACCATGATGGAAATTTAATTGAAATTTCTGGATCATAACCTCCATTATTTGGGCCAGGAAGCCATTAGTAAAGTGTTTTCGCCTCTTTTAATTCAAGGCAGTGTCATATTTTCCTGTAATAGCGAATGCTCACATCACCAAGAGCATCAGTCTTACAGCTTCTTCATCTCTATGCGACGCTGATCTGTCCACCTCTTTGCATTAGAGGAAAGTGTTTAGAGTGACTCAGTGTCTTCTTCCAGCTGATTTGTCGTCTATCATGACAAAGAGCTTGTTTACTCTGAGGGAGTAATTCTATTCTCAAATGATAAATGCAGTTTCGTTGTTTTAGTAAATATAAATCCACTGTCCATCCTAAGAATTTAGGTACTTTTCCCTGCGCTTCAAGGAACAAATATTTGAGCTAGGGAATTAAATTGCACTAAAAAAAAAAACCTCGACATTGGTTCCAGGTGACTTTCCTTTAGCTCCTGGCTTCACTGGGCATCAGTGCACTAAGAACAGACCACCATACCATGGGGACCCCCCCTGCTCTGCTCCGCCTGTTCACCCAGCCTTCCATGACCATCAACATCAGCAGCAGCAGAGCCAGGAGTGAGGCAGTATTCCCCAAACCTGATAAAGGACAGAGGAAGAGGTCGGTTGTGTCAGAGCAAGAGACGAGGTAAAATGGTAGATGAAAAGTAAGGACTCTGTTTGATGGAATGGTAGGTGGATGTTTGGATGGATAAATGGGTGGATGAAGTGAAAGATGACCAAATACTTAAAATAAAGGGGGTAATAATGAGGTTTAACAAGGAGGCAAAAATGGTATAATATCTTTTGGAAATATAGATAGATGGACAAAAACAATAGGGATGATGCACTGATGGGTGGAAAAAAGATGGTGATTTTAGTGTGATGTATGGTTAGATGGATGATACAACTGGGAAAAGAAATGAGGAAGCGAAAGACTTCAACGATTAAATGGAGGGGTAGATATAAGAAACAGGTTAGGGTTAGGGTTAGAGGATCAGGGTTATTATTCATGGGTGGATGTGACACTTATGCCAATAAATGGACGGACAAACAGATGAACAGACGGACAGACTGACAGATGGGTGGATATGGAACTTTTGTGGATGGATGGATGGATTGAAGGATGGATGGATGGATGGTTGGATGGCTACGGGACTAATGTTGATGGATGGATAGGTGGATATGTAACTTTTGTTGATGGATGGATGGATGGATGGATGTATATGCAACTTGTGTCAATGGATGGATGGATTGATGGATGGATAGATCGATGGATGAATGGATGGATATAGAACTGATGTTGATGGATGGATGGATGGCTGGATGGATGGATATGAAACTTGTGTCAATGGATGGATGGATGGATGGATGGATGGATAGATCGATGGATGAATGGATGGATATAGAACTGATGTTGATGGATGGATGGATGGATGGATGGATGTATATGCAACTTGTGTCAATGGATGGATGGATTGATGGATGGATAGATCGATGGATGAATGGATGGATATAGAACTGATGTTGATGGATGGATGGATGGCTGGATGGATGGATATGAAACTTGTGTCAATGGATGGATGGATGGATGGATGGATGGATGGATGGGTGGGTGGATAGATCGATGGATGAATGGATGGATATAGAACTGATAGATGGATGGATGGATGATAATTAGGTGGCTGGATGAGTTATTGACATAGCTTTATGGGTTTATGTAAGGATGGTTGGGCCTTTGATTGATGGATGAGAGGATGAATGGATGGATAAAAGGATAGATGGATGGATGAAATAATAGATAATAATATAATCCTTATTTTATAAATCTGTCATTTCTGTTGTTAGCCTTTTTTTAAAGTTTGGTGGTAGTTTGTCAGATCAACTTTGAGAGGGCAGAGGTGTGAATATTTAATTATCATTATTTCTTTATAATTAGAAAACATGAGTACAAACCAGAACTTTGACCATTTTTAACCAAGTTTCATCTCTTTTTAATAACTCTGGAACGAGTTAAAATACCAAACTTGAATAAATAAATATGATAAGGTAAATGATGATTTCCAACAAATGGTGTTGAGATCATAGTCAGCACTTTTCTTTATCTCCTCTATTGTTTCTTCATTATCTTTCCTCTTTATTCATCAGCCCCGTCTTCCTAAATCCATATTTCTCATTCTTAACCCGGTCTGCTTCCTGAGGACTGTAGTTTGTGTGGTCAGACTGTCTGCTGCCTGTTTTTTTTTTTACTTCTCCACTTTACCTGTCAGTCACTTAGGATTAGACTTCCTGTCAGAGGTGAGACAACCACAGCTGGAGGAACAGACAAGAGTGAGAGAGGCATCCAGACCTTCTCTTCATTTATTCATCCCCACCATCATTCCATCGTAGCGAGAAACAAAACAAGAGCGAGACCCCGAGCACCAGCGCAAAGGTTATTAAAGGCACGGAAAGCTTTGCCCCCGAGGCGAAGCGCAAACAAGAGCTTTAATAATGAATGAATGTGAGGAACATGACAGAGTCGATTCTTTCTTTTGAGCTACACTCACAGTAGAAATGCCTCCCTGTCAGCCGAAGTAACAGAAAACTCGCACAGAAGTGTTTCCAGAGTCGAGCAGTGGGGCTCTGTACCTCCGTTTGAGTTGCTGCTTTTCGTTTCGTGTCACTCACCCCTGTTATTCCCAGCTGTCACGGAGGACTGACGCCGTTTCTTAAGCAAAAGTCACACTATCTACCAATTATTCCACTCATTTGCGCTCATGGCTGACTTCATTCCTGTGGTTGAGCTGTGGGTGTTATTTACTTTGAGAAATTCCCCTCCAGCCTGCGGTGAACTCTGTAAGGCACCTTGTTAATTCAGACCACTTCACTGTGCTCTCAGCTCTCCTGGCACTCCTACCTCCTCCTGTCCCCCACCTCATTCTCCATATTGTACTTGTTCTCTTCAAACCTTGCAGCTCTGCTTCCTTACAGCCCTTGTTATCACTGTTGAAAAACTAAAAGTAGCGGCATCAGCCAGGCTTTCAGGATCAGAGCACTAAATGGGATGCAAGAAGGGTTTGAAATTGACTCTTAAAATAGGTGCTCTTAATTCCTTTCAGCATATACTCTTGCAGCTTCTTCCTGGTGCTGCCAACCACTAAAAAAATCAGACTTTGAGTATCAGTGAAGCATGCAAGTGCAGCCGTTCATCGATGTCAACCAGTAACTGTGTCAAAAAAGCCAACAGAGCTCTACTTTTGCAAAAGTTGCGAACAGGGCTTGCCAAACAGACGGTGACTATTTGCAGGCCAGTCAATATTTTGCAACATTCTAGCCAATGGGTGGGTCCATTGTGACAAATTTTATCCTTGCATTGCTATCGTTCAGAATACAAGTACAAACACAGTTTTCAACTTTGGAGCGTCCTCCTGCCTCTACGAGATAATGGCGCCATATTTCAGCTTGATTCCCTCCATTCAACAAAAGTTATTCCTATAGCATCAAATCAGAGCAGTCGTTATCCCAAGACGCTTTCCAAAAAGGAGCAAGTCTAGATCACGTTCATTGTTTGATGAATTACCAAGATCCCAACCTTAAGATGGGACAAATCTGACCCATCTCATCTAACATGAGTGACAGTGGAGGGACAGCCGAGCATGCGCACTGTCCATTAACACATGGGAGAAACTGCTGCTTCGATTGATGAACCAGGAAGCTAAGCAGTTTGTCGTGGTAAGCGCCTGTAGTCCGCCGTGTGTTTGACTCAAAAGTCACATTTGACCACCAGAGATTTTACAAAATTTCCAGTTTCAGGAGTCAGGACTCCAGTTGTCATAAGTCGTCATCAGTCCTCATTGCATAGGTCGTATCAGTTCCCATTCTGAGCCTGGTTCCACGTCTTCACCTGTCAAGCAGTCCTTTCAAAATAAAAGGACCCCCATCAGTTCCAAAAAGTCACTAAATCTAGCGCCAAAGTTGCTAAGTTGGCAATACTGACTGAGAATTAGAAAATGTTTAGGCCAGGTCTTGAAATTGCTTTTTGTTTTTGTGAGTCTAACATGCCGCAGAGTAAACTTAGCTTAAGTCTGGGACCACTGACAAGGCTCGAGGTGTTTTCATGGAGATTATACAACCGTTTAAAGAATTTCAAACCCTTTTCTTTTTATAGTTCAGACTTCTTGAAATGATAACACCATAAATAAAACTCTTTATGAGCCAATTGCTTTGATTTTATCAGACTTATTCATTCTCATTTGGCGTAAAATAGGAAACTTCAATTTGGCAGAAGAGAGAGAGAGAAAAAAAGAAAAAACTAATAAGAAATAGAGATTTTCCTGAACTGCATGAAATTACAACCACTGATCAAATTGGTTCATTTCAGTTGAAGAAATTCATCTTTTATTCTTGTGTAGAGGAGATTTTTTCTTGTGTATTTGTGAGCGAGCTACACAGATGTACAGGCTTAAATGGCAATTTGCAGAAAATAGAGTGATTTTAAACCAACATCACCTGTGGTCCTCGTCCAATTGGGCAATCAAGCTCAGATCTTTAGATATCCCCATGGGGGGAATTTTCCCTGGAGACTGCTGTGAATCACTCATAATAAGGCAGCCAGTTAGGGCGGGATCCATAAAGCGCCGTTTCTCTCAATGGTTCCCCGCTGTAGATCAGACTCTTTCTGAGTCTTACTCCCTCTCTTTTGTCTGCTGCACTCCACTGTGTTGTTATCAGGAGCCGTTGGGAGCATTAATTGCACTCATTGGGAGAAGGGGGCCGGCGGTCTTGCCAAGCTTTTGAAGTTGCTCGTACTCTCCAACAATGGATTTTTAATGATCACGCTCCCCTCCCTCCTGAGTGCCCCCCTCCCTCCATAATCAGGGAGGCAGTTGTTGATGAGAACAACAAATCAATCAGCGCACTTAGGAGGAAAAACCCGAGCCAATTAATGAACGGTGGACGTTTGGATAAATGCTGCCGGCCTGCAAAGGTTAAGTATTTTAAAATACCACAAAGTGACCCAAAGTAGGGCGCCGTGAAAAAGATTCAAAAACCGAAATAGAGAGAAAAAGGACAAAATTCTGCACAAAACCAACCCCACATACATATGTTAAACCTGTCTCTACTTACAGTAATATCAAGTGGTTCCCTTCAGGGATGTGTCCTTGCAGCCGTCAAGGCCTCATGCATCGACTTAACATAAGCAATTCCTGGAAATTTGTACAATGCAAGAGAAGTCTCACACAGTCCGATACAAAAGGCAGAGAAAGGGTTTGTCAATGTGTCACAATATAAGCCTGAATCAATGAGAATCATTTCGAAATACAGAGCATAGTGCGCAGTTTCTGTGTAAGCACTGCAGGCAGCTTCATCTGTGTGTGAGTGTGGCTGCCCTCGAGCATGAGGTTTGGTTTGGAGCCGAGGGCCTTCCCGCTACGAATGTTCGCCAAAATGTCCTCTGTCATCTCTAAAACATTAACACGTTTTCTCCATCCTTTATGATTTAAAAATCTAATCCAAAACAGCTACTGTGAAAACTCAGTGAAAAGAGGTTCAACAGTAACCCCTTCACCCTAATATCCACCCAAACAACCGCCACAAAGAAACCCTCGAAATATCCTCTGC